AGATAATAGAGACCATCCTTGGGAGAACGTAGGTAACAGATACAATCAGGTCACAGAATGCTATGTGCTGGATGACGACAACCATGACTCGGTGAAGTTTAAAGGCCTTGTACTTTATGGATGCTATGAGAATGGTTGTGTCTCCTATTATAGATGAGGCAAAGATGAATAGATAGTATCCGGCCCAAGTGTATCTTACAGCATCACTTTCAATGCCATACACTGTCTTGTTACTGTACTCGGCATAATATTGGGTTGTTGGCATGATAAATTATTTGCAGAAATGAACAACTATTGAATGAGCGACAAGAACAGAAATGGTCTATACATCTTGTGATTAACCCATTTCTTATATCCTGAGGGGACATGGAGCAGTTTTGCTACCCAATTTACAGATTTGTAGGTTCCTACGCAGTAACAGGTTTAAATCATAATATGATAACACACTTGGGAGGAAAGTGTTTTCAAATTCGCCGGGTCTTAGGAATGTATAAAGTGATCTTATATTACAACTACTAAAAGGAACACGCATATTACAACTATTTAAAAGATTCATTTTTTTGAAATATTACCGTTGTTGACCGTCAAAGATCCCTCCAGGTTTCTGATGTAGGATAACAAGAGTAAACAAGTAAAATAAGAATAAAGATCAAAATTGTCGTTATTTCCAGTTTTTAATATGATCAAAATATTGAATTAAGTTTGGCATAGGACAGAGGACCAAAATTAGGGCTGAGCGAGAAGAGATAGAAATTGACAAAAATTGAACTTAATTAAGTTTTTATTTAAGTATTGGCAATAGTTTGTAACACATATTAAAACTACAGTTACCGTAGATTTCAATAATAAAAAAATAATAAAATCACAAAATGAAATCACACGAAATTTCATAATCGGAATTGTAATTGACCTTAACTTACTCGAATTTTAAAGATGAAGTTCTGTTAACTGGAAGATTGATTACGATAGAAAAGCTTTTATACTCAAACATAGTAAGACACTTTAAAAACGATACAGAATAGTGATTAAATATGTAAAGAACAAAACTCAATGACATGATATTAACACACTACATAAAGGTGTCTCATATAAGAATTGTGTGCTTTCTTCGAAGTGGTTGTTCCCAATTTGAGGGGATATTTTAAGAGTAACAGCTTGCAGGTTGTCATGGCACAGATGAGAAACACACCTGTCAGGTTGGTAAAGTACGTTGTATAGGAGTTCAAGTAGCAGAAGAAGTTTCCTAGCACCCACTTATCAGAGATGATAGAGACCATGTTTGGGAGAATGTTGGTAACAGATACAATCAGGTCACAGAATGCTATGTGCTGGATGATGACAATGATGACCCGGTGAAGTTTAAAGGCCTTATACTTTATGGATGCTATGAGAATGGTTGTGTCTCCTATTATAGATGAGGCAAAGGCGAATAGATAGTATCCGGCCCAAGTGTATCTTACAGCATCACTTTTAATGCCATAAGCAGTCTTATTACTGTAATCATCATAATATTGGGTTGTTGGCATGATAAAGTATTTGCAGAAATGAACAACTGTTGAATGAGCGACAAGGACGGAAATGGTCTATACATCTTGTGATTAACCCATTTCTTATATCTTGAGGGGACATAGAGCAGTTTTGCTACTCAATTTACAGATTTGTAGGTTCCTACGCAGTAACAGGTTTAAATCATAATATGATAACACAGTTGGGAGAAAATTGTTTTCAAATTCGCCTGGTCTTAGGAATGTATAAAATGATCTTATATCACAGTTCTACTAGCAGGAATATTACAACTATTTTAAAGGGTGACCGGCAACTGAACCCAATTGAACTTAGTTCCCACTAACCAATCAGCTTAATTGGTTAATGTAAGGCTCAGGGTCAGGGTCGGGCTCGGGGTCGGGCTCGGGCTCGGGCTAGGGGTCGGGCTCGGGGTCGGGGTGTAATTGTGGGTCGGGGTGTAATTTTATTGCGTGAGCGATTTTTGATCACGTGCCCTGAACATCGAGTCTAAAAATCTATCCTCTCCTATATTTTTTGAGCTATCACCCTGATACTTTCAGGATATGTTGTAGGGATCATTTTTTGAGGTCCGCGAATTTCAAATTCGAATAAAAAATGTTTAAAGGCCTATCTCAAAAATTTGCCCGGCTCATCTTACTATATATAAAGCGAGACGATATATATGTTGACTACCTTCATTCACGTTTCCAGTGGTCGCTTCTGTTCTCGCCCTTCCTTGGTTCTGTACGGTTCTCGCCCTTCCTCCTGAAAAAATAACCGTACAAAATACATCATTGTTAATATAAAGTATCCGGAGCTATGGGGATGTACACATATTACGTAATCAGCCACGGGGGAGGGGGTTTCCAAATGATTACACTAGTGTCATTTTGACACAATAGCTATGTGTAAAAATAATTACAGAGGGGGAGGGGGTCGTAATATGTGAACGACCTCTATTCAATTAAAATCCGCTGTCAGGACAATATGGTTGATAAATAACCATCAATAATATTAATATTCTACTTAAATTGTTTATTACCGTGACTTGTAGAAGTTGTTACGTTGATAGTGTACTGATAAGACATCTGCATTTTCGACCAGATAAATGATCTGAAGCTAGACACGGTCAGACTATAGATGTAGAAGTTGCTGATGGTGTTTAAAGACAGGAGTGAGAGTGCAACTTCATAAAACGTGGTGCGGAATGAACTCTTGCTCTTGTCATCTACACCAACGATAGATTCCCCGATCAAATAAGCAACGTATGGTAGGAGGGACAAGCAGAAAACTGTCGCTGTAAGGACTGTTGTCACGATCCCCTGCCACTTCAAACTTTCTCTGCTCCGGGAAACAACTTTTTTGGCTTCAATCAGCAAACAAATGGTGGTTAATACAACCAGGGATGTTGGAATGAATCCAAATAGCACTGCCACACAAGGCCTCAGATAGTGCCAAACCTCTGACGAGAAACCATATTCGCATTGATAGCCCCTATATAATACGAAAAGAAAACATCATGTTTATCTACGAGAAGGAGCGTCACAGGTAAGATGAAAGCTGCCAACCAGCATGTCACGCAGATCAAGTGTGCTTTCTTCAAAGTGGTTGTTCCAAGTTGGAGGGGATATTTCAGAAGGAGCAGCTTGCTAGTTGTCATGGCATAGATGAGAAACACACTCGTCATGTTTGAATAGAACTGTGCATAGGAGTACAAGTAGCAGAAGAAGTTTCCTAGCACCCACTTATCAGAGATGACAGAGACCAACTTTGGGAGAACGTAGGTAGCAGATACAATCAGGTCACAGACTGCTATGTGCTGGATGACAACAATGATGACCCGGTGAAGTTTAAAGGCCTTGTACTTTATGGATGCTATGAGAATGGTTGTGTCTCCTATTAAAGATGAAGCAATGACGAATAGATAGTATCCGGCCCAAGTGTATCTTACAGCATCACTTTTAATGCCATAAGCAGTTTTGTTACCGTACTCATCATGATATAGGGTTGTTGTCATAATCAAGTATTTGCGATAACTATTTTTAAAACGACTGAAAGGAAATAGAGCTATAATTGTGGTGCATTAAAGTTGTATCACATCATCATTTCTTTTTTCTTCATTGTTACATGTTATCCTACTTGATCTCATACTTGAGGGTAACAGAATCAATATTGCTCTTCCTATAAATTACAAAAACAAACCCATTTCTTATATCTTGAGGGGACATGATGCTATTTTGCTACTCAATTTACAGATTTATCCACCATTTATGGTCTTATGCCCCCCCCCCCCCTGATAAATTGATAACTGAGGGGAAAAATTTTGGTAGTCAATTTACTGATTTAGAGTTAGCTATGATGCTATGAGAATGGTTGTGTCTCCTATTAAAAATGAGGCAACGACGAGTAGATAGTATCCGGCCCAAGTGTATTGTACAGCATCACTTTTAATGCCATAAGCAGTCTTATTACTGAATGGAGTTGGGTTAAAAAGATATAAGTGGTACGATAGTTTAACTTGTAGAAGCTTTCAATAAACATGTGTTAATCGTCGTCAGCGGAGGGTGATGTGGTGGACAATGTATTGGGTTGTTTTCATAGTTAATTATTTGCGAAGATGGACAACTCTTGAATGAACGACAAGAACGGAAATGGGCTTAAAATTTTGTGACTCTTATATCCCCCTTCCTCAAATTTTTGACAGATATTTCAGTCCAGGTATCCTTATCCATTTTAATCTATCAAACAAACATATTATCTTGGTTTGAAATTGAGGTTAACCGAAATGATTTGACTTACTCGAATCAAAATAAAAAATCAGTGAAAAATATGAATTTTAGTGACCCAGAATTTCGTTAATGCTAACAACACCAAACTAGCTGAAGCTTTAATAAAAATATCAAATAACTTAAATAATAAATAAAATAGATAACTTAACATATATTAATATATAATAGGCAATTTAACGTGTCTTTATTCATGTCAGTTAACTGTGAGTTAACTGTGTGTTCATTGTTGTGTTGTGTGTTGTGTGTTAAATTTGTGTTAACTGTGTGTTAACTGTTGAGTGGTGTGTTAACCGTTAACTGTATGTTGTTAGTTGTGAGTTGCGTGTCCTCTAACAATGTTTTCCTCAGAGTGATAGTAGGAGACACCTTTAACCACCAGATAGCTAGCTACAAGCTGGACGGTACAGCTAAGCAAGTTTAACGATGTTTTCCTCAGAGTGATAGTAGGAGACACCTTTAACCACCAGATAGCTAGCTACAAGCTGGACGGTACAGCTAAGCAAGTCTAACAATGTTTTCCTCAGAGTGATAGTAGGAGACACCTTTAACCACCAGATAGCTAGCTACAAGCTGGACGGTACAGCTAAGCAAGTTTAACGATGTTTTCCTCAGAGTGATAGTAGGAGACACCTTTAACCACCAGATAGCTAGCTACAAGCTGGACGGTACAGCTAAGCAAGTTTAACGATGTTTTCCTCAGAGTGATAGTAGGAGACACCTTTAACCACCAGATAGCTAGCTACAAGCTGGACGGTACAGCTAAGCAGGTACTGGCCGAGGGTGATATGGAGAGTGTGGATGGGTTGGCTGTGGACTGGATATCTGGCAATGTCTTCTGGACTAACGGCGGTGAAACTTCCGGTATTTCAATTTGCTCATCTCTTTCATTTCCTTTTAAATTGTTCTGATGTTTAAGTTGTTATACTTTCTCTTGGACTCGTTGTGATAGTCATTTTTGATATATGATCTGAAATATTTTAGATATATTATACATTTCGTAACATTTTCTCTAATCGCAAAATTCATTAATGATGATTTCCACTCACTATCTTGTGTACCATCTATCAAAGTTTCAGAGCGCAAAAGTAGCTCTGTTGTATAATGTATATACAGATTACAGTGTGTATATTGTAAAAGAAGTGATGTTGTATAATGTATATACAGATTACAGGGTGTACATTGTAAAAGAAGTGATGTAAACATCCTATTTCTAATGCAGGAAAGATAGAGGTAGTTGATGGCAAAGGAACTGCCAGAAGGATTATCGTGTCAGATAACTTGGAAAAACCTCGAGCTATCGCACTTGATCCTGTCTTAGGGTGAGTTACCATACTTTTTTCTTTTTATTTTAATGTATTTATTTTTTTATATTTATTTTTTATAACTTAAAAAAAAGAAAATATATTCAGTTACCACACTTTTAGTATGGTTACCGTGGTTACTGTGGTTTTTATCAAGAATAGTGTAGTTATTTTATTTTATTTTTTAGTTTAGTAAGGATTAGTTATGTAAGTTATTTTATTTAATTTATTAATTTAATAAAGATAAGTTATGTAACTAAACTTGTTACAGACACGTTTTCTGGACTGACTGGGGGAACAACAACTCTGGAATAGAGCGAGTAGACATGGACGGTAATTACAGGGAGCGGCTTGTTACAGAGGACATTGTCTGGCCTAATGGTCTCGTCTTAGGTTAGTATAGCTACAAATTAGTATAGCTAAACATTAGTATAGCTAAACATTAGTATAGCTAAAAATTGGTATAGCTAAACATTAGTATAGCTAAACATTAGTATAGCTAAACATTAGTGATTAGTATAGCTAAAAATTAATATTGCTTAAAAAAAGCTTTACATCTTAACTGAAAATGAAACTTAACCCTAGTTGACGTGAGAACCGGTAAAAGCGAAAGTAAAATTTAGTTTTGCAGTGATAAAGCAGTCAGTTTGCGGCATTGACCAATTAAATCGCTTATCTCGGTAATTAATGATTTAATTAATTAATTAATGACTTTTTAATTGACTAACAATGATCAGATACTATAAACCGAGTGATGTACTGGACGGAGGCTAACAGAGACTACATCGGTAGAGCCTCCATGAGGGGTGACAATGTGGAGAAGATAGTCGCTACTAAAGTCTACCAACCTTTCTCTATCACAATCGCGGGTACGTGATTAGTTTATACGTATTGAGAGGAGGAGTATTCAATGTGATCATCTGATATTTCTACAGATTCCTTAAAAAAGCCTAGCTTATTCAGAAGATCTTTTATAATTTAAATACTCTCTCTCTCTCTCTGTATCTAAATAAGTGAGGCACCCACCTGAAACGTTTCTTGTGGAATCCTCTCGACTAAGGTATCCTCCTTATTCAGCTATTGATATAAGAGTATTAGATAACAGTATTTGTTCAGATGACGGTATTCTACTGTGGACAGACTGGGGGACTAACGCTATTGAGTCAGTAAACACCAATAACCTGACAGAACGCTCCTCTGTTCTCAACAACTTCAAGAGACTCATGACAATCCATCACTACGATCACAGGACTCAGACAGGTTAGTGGCGTGTATAGTAACCACAGTAACCACACAGTAACCACAGTAACCACAGTAACCACAGTAACCACAGTAACCACACAGTAACCACAGTAACCACAGTAACCACATGACAATCCATCACTACGATCACAGGACTCAGACAGGTTTGTGGCGTGTATAGTAACCACACAGTAACCACACAGTAACCACAGTAACCACAGTAACCACAGTAACCACAGTAACCACATGACAATTCATCACTACGATCACAGGACTCAGACAGGTTTGTGGCGTGTATAGTAACCACACAGTAACCACACACAGTAACCACACAGTAACCGCAGTAACCACATGACAATCCATCACTACGATCACAGGACTCAGACAGGTTTGTGGAGAGTATAGTAACCACACAGTAACCACACAGTAACCACAGTTACCACAGTAACCTCATGACAATCCATCACTATGATCACAGGACTCAGACAGGTTAGTGGCGTGTATAGTAATCCTGTTGGTGAGAACACTGGAATTAGTTTCCCCTTTAACCCCCCCCCCCTCCCCTTCATTCATGATTATTTGTGTTTCAGATCAATTAAATCTCCAATATAAATAGTACTCATCGATACCATGTATTTCTTTAAAGCGTCATTAACAATTATTGAGATATCGTTTATCTCCCTCACTATACATTGCTAATGATGTGTGCCTCAGGAACGAATGAATGTGCTAATGATAACTTCGGTTGCTCACATCTCTGTCTTAAAACCCCCAGTGGAGCTTTATGTGCTTGTAAGACTCACTTACAACTTATAGACGGTATAGGCGGCAAAACGTGTGGTAAGTTTGTCTTTACTATATCATATTATATGCTTACTGTCGTAATACTAATTAGCTTTATAATACAAATTACACATAACATTTCTTTCTGCTCTTTCAAGAAAATTTTCGTTTTACTCTGTTTTCTTGAATATCATTCCCGTGTGTTTCAATCCCACATAGATATCTCTTGAATGTTTCAAAATATTTCCTTGTGTTCCAGCGGAGGACCCCTGTCTGACGAACAACGGGAACTGTTCGCACACGTGTACACTTAGTGAAACGGGAGTGAAGTGCTTGTGTCCTGACCTGTTCATGCTGGATGAGGACGGTGTCACTTGTAGAGGTAACACTTTGTAACACCTTGTAACACTTTGTAACACCTTGTAACACCGTGTAACACTTTGTAACACCTTGTAACACCTTAGAGGTAACTCCTTAATATCTGGATCCTGGAGGGATCTTAGTGGGCAGGTTCTCATCCTGATACAAAATAAGTAATCAAGACGAAATAATTAGAAATAATTAGAAATAATTAGAAATAATTAGAAATAATTAGAAATAATTAGAAATAATTAGAAATAATTAGAAATAATTAGAAATAATTAGAAATAATTAGAAATAATTAGAATAAACTCAATACGTGCTAGGGAATCATCAACCAGATTCTAACTCACAATTTTCTTTCAGCATCAGAGAAAAGTCTGTTGATATCTTCTCACGCCTTCATTTACAGAGTTACTCTGGATACCCCTACACCGCAGGTACTGTAGTAGACCACACTTGTTTTTACACGTCACATGACCATATTAGGCGATAACCATACTTGTGTTTACACGTCACATGACCATATTAGGCGATAACTACACTTGTTTTGACAAATGACATGACCATATTAGGCGATAACTTGCCATAAATTTAACCGAACCATCACTCATTAATATTTGGTTATTATTTTACTATTATTATGGTGTGTGTGAAAGGAAGGATATGAATTGTAGTACTGGATTTGTTCAAGGGAATTACCGTGTGTAGCAAAAGTATTGTAATTTGGAGAACTTTCTCTCTTTCACAGCTGCTCAATCAACAATTTTATCAAGCTATGGATCATGTTACTTTTTGAGGGTTATTCTGTGGGGAGGAGATATCATAGGATTAAATTAATTATTAAATTGCCCCAAAAAAACATAACAATTGACAGTATACTCAGACCCAGTACTGTTATAAAACAGTTGGGCCCGCCTCCATCAGTATACATGTATTGCATGTTATCGCCTAATATGGACATGTCAGGTGTCAAAACAAGTGTTGTCCGCCTCTGAGACAACAATTGATCTCAATGCGAATTCTGTAGACTACAATACTATTTATTTTACTAGTTTGCAAAGTTCTCCCCTCACTATGGTTAAAATGATGATGTGCTAACTCTTATGTTTGATTTATATAAAATTACTGGAATGTTAACACTGAGTAACACTTCAGGTGTCTTACCTGAACTACAACTCCATCTCTTACTCACTTGCTCTGGGATATGACTCTAAAAACGGTTAGTTTTACAATGATGCACATTTTTTTAATAAATAAATAATAATGAACACGGTTAGTTGGTCCCTCGAAAGGCTGCTCTGAAAAATGATCAAATCAGAAAACAACGAAACACTTTTTGTAGGATCGTAACTTGTTTTGTATCTAACGAATATAACCCCATAAAAAATTATATCGCTGTTTTCAATTTTGATATTACTAAAAGATCACTAGAACTGATTCGATATTGAAAAAAACTTTATAATTACGAAAGAAAGCAACCTCACCCAGTAACCACACAGTAACCATAGCAACCCCAAAATAACCACACAGTCCCTCATTACATATCTTCTCCCCCCAGAGCGTGTGATATACCGTGATGCCAAAGCTGGGATAGTTTCTGTTTCTCTGGACGGACAGGATGTCCAGCAACTCAATGATGACTGGGAAGCTTTCTCTATTACTGTAGACAATATCGCGGGTAATTAGTAATTAGGTCACTAATTAGGTCACTAATTAGTAATTAGATCACTAAAGTTATTATGTCCAGCAACTCAATGCGGGTAACTTGGGCCCTCTTATATCAGATCTTCTTTTGTTTGATTTCCTTAGTTACTTAAATTTACAGATACGGTTTGGTAATTATGGTTGATTTCATTATTGGCAAGTTAGTATGTAAGTCAGGTTAAAGTTAGTATGTTGGTTCTATATAATAATGCGAATCATAACTCACGATAAGAATTTCAACTTATCAACTGCTCCAGCTTCATAAAGATTAAGTAAGATAATCATTAATTAACCTTAATAAAGATTAAGTAAGAGTTAACGGTTCCAGGTAACCTGTACTGGGTGAGACGTAACCTAGTTATGGTGTCCCGAGTGGACGGTTATCACATCAGAACACTCTACACTGGTTAGTTTTAACTATACTGATATTACTAGAAACTAAGTACCATTTTCGGGCTTTAGTATTGACGATATATTTTCAAGCATAAGTTATCTTTTTAGCTCAGTATTCATGATATTTTCTGGGATGACGGGATGTTCAAACACTGCTGAGTATAAGATTTATCTTAAAAGCGGTGTTATTAAATTTCAATTTATTATTATTATTAAGTTGCGTGTTTTAACCTGCATTAATTGCAATATTTCCTAGTACTTCATTACTTAATTAATAAACTACTTAATTCTTGTAACAACTATCCCTCTCTCTCCAGGTCCCACAGACTCGACAGTAACAGATATAGTAGTGTACCCTCAGAAACGCTTCTTATTCTGGACTGTGAAGAGGGAGAACAATGGGTTCGTCATGAGAGGAGCATTGGACGCTTCCGACACAGTGGTTAGTAACACCTAGTAACACATAGTTACACATAGTTACACCTAGTAACACCTAGTAACACCTAGTAACACCTAGTAACACCTAGTAACACCTAGTAACACCTAGTGTTTTATGGTAATGGACGGCTTTAGTCCGCAACTGGGTTGCTCCCTAGTGGTACCCCTCTTCGTCTCCCGCCTGTTTGGTGCACTGGGAGTATGCTTGTAAAGCCCCCCCCCCCCCCCCCCCCCTGTAAAGGTGTCCGATCCTCTGTTGTTAAGACTTCTGTACTGTCATCCTTGATGTTGGAGTTTAAACCCCACCTGGGGTCTCGATCTTTCAGATAAGACATTGGTAGCAGTGCCTAAACTTTAACCAATGTTTCCTCCTGCAGAAGATAGATCAGCTGCCTCTAAAGCCAATTTGTAGCAGTGCCTAAACTTTAACAAATGTTCCTCCTGCAGAAGATAGATCAGCTGCCTCTGAAGCCAATTAGTAGCAGTGCCTAAACTTTAACAAATGTTTCCTCCTGCAGAAGATAGATCAGCTGCCTCTAAAGCCAATTTGTAGCAGTGCCTAAACTTTAACAAATGTTTCCTCCTGCAGAAGATAGATCAGCTGCCTCTAAAGCCTACTGGTGTAGCGATAGATCACAGGGATGAGAGGGTGTATTATGTGGACCTGTTAAATAGAGATCACATCCTCATCAGTATGAACATGGACGGTTCTGACAGACAGAAACTTTATCAGGTGACATTTCGAAAGAGTAGGGAAAATGTAACGATGTTTGTTCACAATTAATCTAATTTAGTGTGATGCAGAAACTGTTGTCTAAATTCCCTCTTAATAATATTTTCCGCCTGTAACCACTTTAAAATTAACCAGTTGCCATGACAACCTATCTTAGTTACCATGACAACATATCTCAGTTACCATGACAACCTATCTCAGTTACCATGACAACCTATCTCAGTTACCATGACAACTTATCTCAGTTGCCATGACAACCTATCTCAGTTGCCATGACAACAAAACTCAGTAACCATGACAACCTATCTCAGTTGCCATGACAACCTATCTCAGTTACCATGACAACCTATCTCAGTTGCCATGACAACCTATCTCAATTACCATGACAACCTATCTCAGTAACCATGACAACCTCAGGATGCACAGCACATGTTTGTTGATCTGGCTATTGACGAGGGGACCCTTTACTGGACTCAGAGTCTTCACGATAACCTCAACTCAGCTAAACTACCTGGCTTCACTGAACAGAAGAACATGATCAGGTCACAATAATATCAAATAATCAGGGTTTTTTCCCCGAACATTGTCGTGTTTTTCTCACCTTTTTTTCTTTAAAATACACAGTCGGATGGGAAATTAACAATTGGGAGTACGATGTCGAAATTAAAGTAAGCAGTAGTTTTCTCAAGTGAGATTATCATAATTTTGACAATGTCTTGATCCTATCTCTATCCATTCCTGATCCTATCTCTATTTCAGCTACCTGTCAAAAGGAAGACACGGTATAATCTCCACTAACTATCTCTATTTCAGCTACCTGTCAAAAGGAAGACACGGTATAATCTCCACTAACGTGTATGATCTAGTGGTGGTTAACGCAACTGTTCCTGCGGGGACCTCTGGGTGTGAGGTTCATGACTGTGAGGGTATCTGCTTCGGTCGCCCCCTTGGGTTCAAGTTAGTTCTATTACTCTTGGGTTTTAGTATCAACAACGAGAACCATGATTGGTGAAGTCTTAGTTAGTTTTATTGTAGTTGTAGTAAACCTGCGATGGGATTGCATGGGCCTCAGTAGGATGTTATTCGTGTGACTATAATTGTTAAAGCCTTTGGCTGCAGGGTTGGTTCTTTATATTAACAATAACATAATAACAATTAACATTAATACTTATATTAACAACATGTTTTAATTCCTGAACTACACGTTATCACAGATATTGAACCCCTCCTAACCACCAGGTGTCTGTGTGAGGACGATGTCCCAGTATCTCAAACAAACAGTTCCCGCTGTGGTTTAGACCCGCTCTTACTCCGAGCTAAGAGGGACGCTCTATTGTCACGTGACCTTGTTACTGGCGAGGAGAGTGTTATTAAAGACGGAATATCAGGTGGGACGCAAAAGTTGGGAGTTTTATATGTAAACAATGGCTAGCAAAATATGCATCCTGGGTTTGGACAGGATATGACCCGTTTAAAATATATATTCGGGGAAATGTATTTCAATATATTTTATGGTTTAATGTTCAAATTTGACAACTACAAGGCTATGAATAGGTCATCACCACATTTTCCCAGGTGTCTCCTCTAATATATCAGTATCACGTGATGCCCTAATATGGTATTTTCCCAGGTGTCTCCTCTATAGCGTACCACTCCCGTAAGAACATTACCCTGTGGGCTGACTCCATGGTTGACAAGATCATGTCTCTTCTACCGGATGGTAATAGCACGGTGGTGGTCGGACACGGTATTGTGTCTCTTAAAACTATTGAGGTGGATCATGTTACTGATAAAGTGTACTGGTGAGTACATTGTACATTACTTCATACATTGTACATTACTTCATACAATTCTCCTACAAACATAATGTACGAATCGTACATTATATTTGTAGGATAATTATTTGAATGTATTAGTTTTCTACATTCGTAAGTTATTTTTACTTCAGTTGAGGTAATATCCGAATAGGAACATTATTTATGAGTCGCATTGTTGTGATGATTAAAGTTCAAAATCTCTGATAATTCCGTATGTGCGACGAAGGGAAACTACTGGGGGGGAACTACTGGGGGGGAACTACAGCTGGGGGGGCAACTACGGGGGGGGGGGGGGGGGGGAACTACTGGAGGGGGGAACTACTGGAGGGGGGAACTACTGGGGGGGGGGGAACTACTGGGGGGGAACTACAGCTGGGGGGGCAACTACGGGGGGGGGGGGAACTACTGGAGGGGGGAACTACTGGAGGGGGGAACTACTGGGGGGGGGAACTACTGGGGGGGAACTACAGCTGGGGGGGGGGTAACTACTGGGGGGAGGGAGGCAACTACTGTGGGGGGGGGGGGCAACTACTCTTCAGGTAGAAGAAAACTGTTCTGAATAAGCTGTAATGACTATTTTAATAACGTCACCTTACTTCTCACAACGTGGCAAAACGAATCGTAACATCTTCATTGACATGACACCCACAGGTTGGACCCAGGAACTAACAACATTTCCACAGGTTGGACCCAGGAACTAACAACATTGGTGTAGCAGACCTATCAGGAGAGTACCAAACCATCCTCCCTCTCAACAACAACACCGAGATAACAGCTTTTACTATATCTCCTAAACACAGGGCTCTCTTCTTCGCTGAGATGTCAGCTAGAGTTATTTACAAGTTAGTGACTTTGTTCCTTGCTTTGTGGTTTTATACGTCGTGTTGATAATGTAATAGTAACTGTAAAAGTAACTGTAAAAGTAACTGTAATAGTAACTGTAATAGTAACTGTAATAGTAACTGTAATAGTAACTGTAATAGTAACTGTAATAGTAACTGTAATAGTAACTGTAATAGTAACTGTAATAGTAACTGTAATAGTAACTGTAATAGTAACTGTAATAGTAACTGTAATAGTAACTGTAATAGTAACTGTAATAGTAACTGTAATAGTAACTGTAATAGTAACTGCAATAGTAACTGTAATAGTAACTGTAATAGTAACTGCAATAGTAACTGTAATAGTAACTGTAATAGTAACTGTAATAGTAACTGTAATAGTAACTGTAATAGTAACTGTAATAGTAACTGTAATAGTAACTGTAATAGTAACTGTAATAGTAACTGTAATAGTAACTGTAATAGTAACTGTAATAGTAACTGTAATAGTAACTGTAATAGTAACTGTAATAGTAACTGTAATAGTAACTGTAACTTTAACTGCAATAGTAACTGCAATAGTAACTGTAATAGTAACTGTAATAGTAAATGTAATAGTAACTGTAAAAGTAACTGTAATAGTAACTGTAATAGTATCCTAAGTAACTGTAATAGTAACTGTAATAGTAACTGTAATAGTATCCTAAGTAACTGTAATAGTAACTGTAATAGTAACTGTAATAGTAACTTTACTGTTTTTATAATAAAAACAAATTATATCTGTTTAATGTATGTTACAATAATAACACCACCTCTCTTCAGAGCCAGCATGGACGGAAGTAACCAGGAAGTGCTATTGGAATCTACAGATAACCTCACTATCTCCAGAATACAGAGTATGGTAGTCGATCCCCAGACTTCTACTCTGTACTGGGCAGACAGCGGCAGTGATCATATTGGTAGGGCTTATTCTCTGTTTAACTTATTGTTGTTCTTGATTCTGTTGCAGATTTGTATTGTCTGATCTTGTTCCCAACAGTAAAGACTAGTGAACTAAGTGTTTTCAATTAATGTGCAATTTTCATATTGTAAGCTCGGAGAATGAGTGTCAACATTAAATAACCTAACTTCCACCACTAGGATCACTACAACTGAACAGTACCACCCCTACTAAACTGAAGACTGTGGTTTCCACCTACTTCTCCTCAATAGCAGTCTTCCAGGGCCAAGTCTACATTGGTGAAAGGTAAGGTTCTTAATTTAAAATCCTCAGCTACTGTTCAGATTTATTTTGAGGTTAGGAAAATGTAGTGACATCACTCAGAAATTTGGATTAAGGGATGGTATACCAATGACCCTTTCTGTTCAGGCTTCAGCAGATGATATACCAGTTCGATTTAAGAACTGAAGAGACTTTAGAGCTCCTTAGAAGAGAAGATATCGCAGATCTGAAGGTAAGAACACTTCTTTTCGTCTGTTTTTTGCTTCACTATTTTTATGATCACAATTTAAAATCATCTAAATCTGCCTCCCCCGATCTCATGCTCAGAGCTTCGCCTAATTGCTCCTACCCATTGCTTTACATAACCCTGTCAGGTGAACCATGTATCCCTCCAACCGAGTCTCTCCTCCACGTGTAGCCAGAACAAGGGGGGATGTCACCACCTCTGTCTCCTTTCCAACTCCCCACTAGGCTTCTCTTGTGCTTGTGCTAACGGACTCGTTCTCGCTCCTGACTGTGAGTAGCTAGATAGATTAGCTGCTAATTACCGCTAATTACCGCTAATTAGTTGCTAACTTATTTGTTAAACCCTAATTTTGGGGTCACCCTCTGCCAGCTTATTGTTTACAAACGGAGGATACGAGTTTGAAACACTGGTTGGGCAATGGACATCGTTCTCAGCACTTTTCGATAGCATAGTAATGATTAAACAGTTTGCGAGTAAATATTCTCCTGTCTAAAGGAAGATGTTAACCTAACAACAACCCCCTCCCTAGCTAAAACGTGTGTAGAACCAGCCCTGTCCTGGTTCTACACATGTTAACCTAACCACAACCCCCTCCCCAGCTAAAACGTGTGTAGAACCAGCCCTGTCTTGGTTCTACACATGTTAACCTAACCACAACCCCTCCCCAGCTAAAACGTGTGTAGAACCAGCCCTGTCCTGGTTCTACACATGTTAACCTAACCACAACCCCCTCCCCAGCTAAAACGTGTGTAGAACCAACCCTGTCCTGGTTCTACACATGTTAACCTAACCACAACCCCCTCCCCAGCTAAAACGTGTGTAGAACCAGCCCTGTCCTGGTTCTACACATGTTAACCTAACCACAACCCCCTCCCCAGCTAAAACGTGTGTAGAACCAGCCCTGTCCTGGTTCTACACATGTTAACCTAACCACAACCCCCTCCCCAGCTAAAACGTGTGTAGAACCAGCCCTGTCCTGGTTCTACACATGTTAACCTAACCACAACCCCTCCCCAGCTAAAACGTGTGTAGAACCAGCCCTGTCCCTGGTGATAGCCGGCAGATCTAAACTCCTGAAAGTGTCACTAGACAAGCTCCCGACCACCGCCTCTGTTCTCCCTTTCTCCGCTCATACTAGTGGGGCTATAGCTCTGGCAGTGGACGTTCTTAATGGAGCTTACTTCTGGACGGATGTCACTAAAGATTCTATTGTCAGGTGAGAACACTTGTTTGTGTGTCTGTTTGTATGTATACAGATAAACTTGCAGCGAAATGTAACCACTAACCAAACAAATCTCAAAACGGAAACACGGACAGGGTAATAAGGTTTGTTGGATAATTTTAGTATGACTGAATCTGATATTAACTTAATAACAAAATTATCCCAGAGGATGGGCGAATGGTACAGGCTTCTACCAAGAGGCAATAGTTACGTCTAATGTAAAGACTCCGGACGGAATGGTTTACGACTGGGTCTCTCAGATCCTCTACTGGACTGATACTGCATTAACCCACATTCAGGTAGCTATTTTAACACTTGAGTTAACTGGCTCCTTTCTATGGTTGAACAGCTGTAATACTTATATCTGATATGCTATTTTCTCATCCTTCAAGAGGTCCGGTCAATTAGAGGTTTACTTATAACTCACACTTCTAACCTCACACTTCTAACCTCACACTTCTAACCTCACACTTCTAACTTCACACGTCTAACCTCACACTTCTAACCTCACACTTCTAACCTCACACTTCTAACCTCACACTTCTAACCTCACACTTCTAACCTCACACTTCTAACCTCGCCCTTCTAACCTCGCACGTCTAACCTCACTCTTCTAACCTCACACTTCTAACCTCACACTTCTAACCTCACACTTCTAACCTCACACTTCTAACCTCGCACTTCTAACCTCACACTTCTAACCTCGCCCTTCTAACCTCACACTTCTAACCTCACACTTCTAACCTCACACTTATAACTCACACTTCTAACCTCGCACTTCTAACCTCACACTTCTAACCTCACACTTCTAACCTCGCCCTTCTAACCTCGCCCTTCTAACCTCACACTTCTAACCTCACGCTTCTAACCTCGCCCTTCTAACCTCGCCCTTCTAACCTCACACTTCTAACCTCACACTTCTAACCTCGCCCTTCTAACCTCGCCCTTCTAACCTCACACTTCTAACCTCACACTTCTAACCTCACACTTATAACTCACACTTCTAACCTCGCCCTTCTAACCTCACACTTCTAACCTCACACTTCTAACCTCACACTTATAACTCACACTTCTAACCTCGCCCTTCTAACCTCGCACGTCTAACCTCACTCTTCTAACCTCACACTTCTAACCTCACACTTCTAACCTCACACTTCTAACCTCACACGTCTAACCTCACACTTCTAACCTCACACTTCTAACCTCACACTTATAACTCACACTTCTAACCTCACACTTCTAACCTCACACTTATAACTCACACTTCTAACCTCACACTTCTAACCTCGCCCTTCTAACCTCGCACGTCTAACCTCACTCTTCTAACCTCACACTTCTAACCTCACACTTCTAACCTCGCACTTCTAACCTCACACTTCCAACCTCACACTTCTTACCTCACACTTCCAACCTCACACTTCTTACCTCACACTTCCAACCTCACACTGCCAACCTCGCACTTCTAACCTCACACTTCTAACCTCACAATTCTTACCTCGCACTTCTAACCTCGCACTTCTAACCTCGCACTTCTAACCTCACACTTTTAACCTCGCACTTCTCACCTCGCACTTCCAACCTCACACTTTTAACCTCGCACTTCTAACCTCACACTTCTAACCTCACACTTCTAACCTCACACTTCCAACCTCACACTTCCAACCTCACACTTCTAACCTCACACTTCTAACCTCACACTTCTAACCTCACACTTCTAACCTCACACTTCTAACCTCACTCTTCTAACCTCACATTTCTAACCTCACACTTCTAACCTCACACTTCTAACCTCACACTTCTAACCTCACACTTCTAACCTCACACTTCCAACCTCACATTTCTAACCTCACACTTCTAACCTCACACTTCTAACCTCACACTTCTAACCTCACACTTCTAACCTCACACTTCTAACCTCACACTTCTAAACCTCACACTTCTAACCTCGCACTTCTAACCTCAGGTGTGTAAGTCGGATGGTAGTTCCCGTAAGACACTACTTAGTGGACTGAGCAAGCCCCGGGCCCTGGCAGTAGATTACCTGACCGGACACCTTTACTGGTCTGAGTGGGGAACTACACCTAGGATAGCACGTGCTCACACTGACGGTTAGTACTAGCTGTTACTGGTAATTTAAGTAGTACTGGCTGTTACTTGTAATTTTAGTAGTACTGGCTGTTACTGGTAATTTGAGTAGTACTGGCTAGGAGGACGCTAGGAGGATCAGGAAAGGGGAACTTTAGGACGCTAGGAAGATTAGGACTCCTCGAACTACATTGCATATACTCCTTTTGTATCATCCTCAGTATATGTATTGTGTACACTGATAATGTATTGTGTACACTGTATTAGATTTGTAGTGTTGAAATTAGTTTTTAACTATTATAATGAGTATACGAGTCAATATATTTGATAGTCTCCTCCATTCTACTATGATACATAATTAATAATTATAACATGTATCAACGTATCCCCAACCCCTGATATTTCTCTAATCTTCCTAATATACACCAGGTAAGAACATGGTGACACTGTACTCAGGGGAAGATGTGGGTTGGCCCAATGGCATGACTATTCATCACGAGGACAGGTACCTTATCAGATATCAAACTAATGATATAATTAATAATTTATTTATTTATATAATTTACAGATTTTGTAGTGTCTTAGGGGTCTAACTTTTGTGTGGAATGTGGATTCTTTTCATATCTGTCCAGAAACTTGGCGGTTTTTAAGTTGTCTAAGTGGCAAAGATAATAAGAATCGTGAACGTTGTGAAAATTAACTAACCCTGTTTCCCAGAATTCTGTACTGGGCAGATGCAAAGGTTGACAAGATAATATCATTTGATCTGAAGACGAATACTAAAACTGATCTAATAGTACGTGACATGCATCCCTTCGGACTGGCAGTCTGGCAGGATCATCTTTACTGGAGTGGTAAGTCACTATCTTGATTCATGATAATTAATAACGACTTGAACTTCTTGTCGCGATGACGTCACGTCATTTCCCTGATGACATCATACATTTTCTTATGACATCATTAATTGCTGAGTACGATATTTAAAAACTAAACCCCCTATAGATTGGCAGCACCAGTCAGTTTTCAGAGCTAACCGACATGACCCGACCCTCGTTACAACGGTCGTATCCGGCTGGAAGGATCTGATGGCGATAGCTGTGATACACGATCAGGCTCAACCAAGTTAGTGTTTAGTTAGTGTTTAGTTAGTGTTTAGTTAGTGTTTAGTTAGTGTTTAGTTAGTGTTTAGTTAGTGTTTAGTTAGTGTTTAGTTAGTGTTTAGTGAGTGTTTAGTGAGTGTTTAGTTAGTGTTTAGTTAGTGTTTAGTTAGTGTTAAGTTAGTGTTTAGTGAGTGTTTAGTTAGTGTTTAGTTAGTGTTTAGTTAGTGTTTAGTTAGTGTTTAGCTAGTGTTTAGTTAGTGTTTAGCTAGTGTTTAGCTAGTGTTTAGTTAGTGTTTAGTTAGTGTTTAGTTAGTGTTTAGTTAGTGTTTAGTTGGTGTTTAGTTAGTGTTTAGTTAGTGTTTAGTTAGTGTTTAGTTAGTGTTTAGTCAGTGTTTAGTTAGTGTTTAGTTAGTGTTTAGTTAGTGTTTAGTTAGTGTTTAGTTAGTGTTTAGTCAGTGTTTAGTCAGTGTTTAGTTGGTGTTTAGTTGGTGTTTAGTTAGTGTTTAGTTAGTGTTTAGTTAGTGTTTAGTTAGTGTTTAGTAAGTGTTTAGTTAATGTTTAGTTAGTGTTTAGTTAGTGTTTAGTTAGTGTTTAGTTAGTGTTTAGTTAGTGTTTAGTTAGTGTTTAGTTAATGTTTAATTAGTGTTTAGTTAGTGTTTAGTTAATGTTTAGTTAATGTTTAGTTAGTGTTTAGTTAGTGTTTAGTTAGTGTTTAGTTAGTGTTTAGTTAGTGTTTAGTTAGTGTTTAGTTAATGTTTAGTTAGTGTTTAGTTAGTGTTTAGTTAATGTTTATGTTTATGATGGATGTCTCCTGTTTAGACGTTTATTCTATACAGGTATCGCTGCCCTCTTTTTTTTCTATAATCGTTGCACTCTGCCTGTTTCTGGTATTGTTACTTTTCGCTTTTTCTCCTTCTCTAACCAAACACCAAGATCAACAAATAAACCATGATTGTCCTGCAGCGCTGATAAAGACGAACTGCTCGTACGGTAACGGAGCTGACTACCGAGGTATGGGAGCTACAACTATATCAGGGAGGAATTGTCAAGCCTGGAACTCACAGCTGCCTCATAAACACAGCAGGATGGAGGAGAACTATCCGTGTGAGTTGGTCACGTGGTTATCATGGTGTTGTCACGTGGTTGTCACGTGTTTATCGCGTGGTTATCATGGTGTTGTCACGTGGTTATCACGTGGTTATCACGTGGTTATTGTGTGGTTTTCAGGTCTTTTCTCTGAATTATTTTATATTTATCATTTGCTGAGTTCTTTAAAAACTAAGGATTTGAGAAAAAATGTGTGGAATGGAAGAGTACAAGATCAGTATCAGTATCAGTATGAGGTCAATTTGTTGTAGAAAATTTAAAACATAGTTTGCCGCTAAAAATTATAAGAATATTTTGCTGCTAGAGATAATTATATTCCATCCCTTGATCGAAATATTGTCTCAGTCGCTGGTCTAGGAGCACACAACTATTGCCGTAACCCTGACGATGAAGAGTTCCCATGGTGCTACACCACCGACCCCCTAGTAAGATGGGAATACTGCTCCCTCAAACGTTGTGGTGAGTGCTGTTAACAGAAATCGCCCCCGATTAGCTGGAATCTCTCCCCGATTAGCAGGAATCTCTCCCCGATTAGCTGGAATCTCCCCCTGATTAGCAGGAATGTCCCCCCGATTAGAAGGAATCTCTCCCCGATTAGCTGGAATCTCCCCCCCCCCCCCCCCCATTAGCAGGAATCTCTCCCCGATTAGCTGGAATCTCCCCCCGATTAGAAGGAATCTCTCCCCGATTAGCTGGAATCTCTCCCCGATTAGCTGGAATCTCCCCCCGATTAGCAGGAATCTCTCCCCGATTAGCTGGAATCTCCCCCCGATTAGCAGGAATCTCTCCCCGATTAGCTGGAATCTCCCCCCGATTAGAAGGAATCTCCCCCCGATTAGCAGGAATCTCCCCCCGATTAGCTGGAATCTCCCCCCGATTAGCAGGAATCTCTCCCCGATTAGTAGGAATCTCTCCCCGATTAGCAGGAATCTCCCCCCGATTAGTAGGAATCTCTCCCCGATTAGCTGGAATCTCCCCCCGATTAGCAGGAATCTCTCCCCGATTAGCTGGAATCTCCCCCCGATTAGAAGGAATCTCCCCCCGATTAGCAGGAATCTCCCCCCGATTAGCTGGAATCTCCCCCCGATTAGCAGGAATCTCTCCCCGATTAGCAGGAATCTCCCCCCGATTAGCTGGAATCTCTCCCCGATTAGGAGGAATCTCCCCCCGATTAGCTGGAATCTCTCCCCGATTAGCTGGAATCTCTCCCCGATTAGCAGGAATCTCCCTTCGATTAGCTGGAATCTCTCCCCGATTAGCAGAGTAGCAGGAATCTCCCCCCGATTAGCTGGAATCTCTCCCCGATTAGGAGGAATCTCCCCCCGATTAGCTGGAATCTCTCCCCGATTAGCTGGAATCTCCCCCCGATTAGCAGGAATCTCTCCCCGATTAGCTGGAATCTCCCTTCGATTAGCTGGAATCTCTCCCCGATTAGCAGGAATCTCCCCCCGATTAGCTGGAATCTCTCCCCGATTAGGAGGAATCTCCCCCTGATTAGCTGGAATCTCTCCCCGATTAGCTGGAATCTCTCCCCGATTAGCTGGAATCTCCCCCCGATTAGCTGGAATCTCTCCCCGATTAGCTGGAATCTCCCCCCGATTAGCAGGGATCTCCCCCGATTAGCTGGAATCTCCCCCCGATTAGCTGGAATCTCTCTCCGATTAGCAGGAATCTCTCCCCGATTAGCTGGAATCTCTCCCCGATTAGCAGGAATCTCCCCCCGATTAGCAGGAATCTCCCCCCGATTAGCAGGAATCTCCCCCCGATTAGCAGGAATCTCTCCCCGATTAGCTGGAATCTCCCCCCGATTAGCTGGAATCTCTCCCCGATTAGCAGGAATCTCTCCCCGATTAGAAGGAATCTCTCCCCGATTAGCAGGAATCTCTCCCCGATTAGAAGGAATCTCTCCCTGATTAGCTGGAATCTCGCCCCGATTAGCAGGAATCTCCCCCCGATTAGCAGGGATCTCTCCCCGATTAGCGGGAATCTCTCCCCGATTAGCTGGAATCTCTCCCCGATTAGCAGGAATCTCCCCCCGATTAGCAGGAATCTCTCCCCGATTAGCAGGAATCTCCCCCCGATTAGCAGGAATCTCCCCCTGATTAGCAGGAATCTCTCCCCGATTAGCTGGAATCTCCCCCCGATTAGCAGGAATCTCTCCCCGATTAGATGGAATCTCTCCCCGATTAGCTGGAATCTCTCCCCGATTAGCTGGAATCTCTCCCCGATTAGCTGGAATCTCTCCCCGATTAGCTGGAATCTCCCCCCGATTAGCAGGAATCTCCCCCCGATTAGCTGGAATCTCTCCCCGATTAGAAGGAATCTCTCCCCGATTAGAAGGAATCTCTCCCCGATTAGAAGGAATCTCTCCCCGATTAGAAGGAATCTCTCCCCGATTAGAAGGAATCTCCCCCCGATTAGCAGGAATCTCTCCCCGATTAGCTGGAATCTCTCCCCGATTAGAAGGAATCTCTCCCCGATTAGAAGGAATCTCTCCCCGATTAGAAGGAATCTCCCCCCGATTAGCAGGAATCTCTCCCCGATTAGCAGGAATCTCTCCCCGATTAGCAGGAATCTCTCCCCGATTAGAAGGAATCTCTCCCCGATTAGAAGGAATCTCTCCCCGATTAGCTGGAATCTCCCCCCGATTAGCAGGAATCTCCCCCCGATTAGCAGGAATCTCTCCCCGATTAGCAGGAATCTCTCCCCGATTAGATGGAATCTCCCCCCGATTAGCAGGAATCTCCCCCTGATTAGGAGGCAGTTTTCCAGCTTTTGATCGTTGTTTAAAAATTAAATTAACCCCTTCAAAACCATCAGCTAAGGTACGCTACGAGCAGATCTCTGCGAACATGACTTATTGGGACGCGCAGGAGAGATGTGCTACTCTCGGTGGTAACCTGGCAACCATTCGTTCTGATAAAGAGAACAGTTTCGTACGGTAAGTAACAGTTTTATACGGTAAGTAACAGTTTCGCACGGTAAGTAACAGTTTCGTAAGGTAAGTAACAGTTTCGTAAGGTAAGTAACAGTTTCGTACGGTAAGTAACAGTTTCGTACGGTAAGTAACAGTTTCGTAAGGTAAGTAACAGTTTCGTACGGTAAGTAACAGTTTCGTACGGTAAGTAACAGTTTTATACGGTAAGTAATAGTTTCGTACGGTAAGTAACAGTTTCGTACGGTAAGTAACAGTTTTATACGGTAAGTAATAGTTTCGTAAGAGTTCTTATCAGCCCCAACTTTAGTAGACAGGTGTATGTTTTATTTCTGTTGTGGCGGAAAACACTCCAAAAATAGTTCCATACCACAATCCACCGGTCACATCCTCAAGGCAAGGTCTCAGGCTATACCGTGTATACGAACACGGTCCTCTAATATCACCTTTCTCCAGATCGAAGGTAAACACAGACGCCAGTGGAATGGTATGGATAGGTTTAACAAAACTACTGGAGAACACGACTACAGGCTACACTTGGCTCAGTGGTGATGGAACCCAATACATCAACTTCGGGGACAGTTTCGACAGATCCCTCCAATCCCAGTTAGTAATTGGGAAATTGATTGATTAATTATAAAATTGATCAATTAATTATAAAATTGATCGAATAATTATTTTTATTTATGATCATGAGAAGATCGTAGTCAATATCACTTCACTATTCGCGGTTGTTTTGATAAAAAAGGAGGAATATTTTAATACTCAATATTTTAATAAAAAATATAAGGGGAGTAGAATCAGGATGACATAAGATGCGGGGATATGGTCAATAATGGGGACTAGGACATGAGCTTAACTAACGTGTGGAATGTTGCAGGTGGTCGATAGCGATGAACGTCAGAACAGGAAAGTGGTACAAATACGACTCTGAAACCTCCTTCTTCTCCATCTGCGAGATCTACTGTTAGTCACAGCTGACAGCAATTTCCTTTTTTGTGTTATGATGTTTGAGCTCGATTAAATAAAACGTGGGTTGCATTCTTCTGTCCTGTCAAAATTATTCGTTGAATTTTCTGTGAGTAATTCTGATATTGTGTTTTCTCAGCTGTTCCAGAAGGCTACACCACAGAAGGAAACGCTAACGGAGCAATGTGCTCTTTCCCCTTCTACTTGGTAAATATATCACCAACAATTTTTCGAGCCGAAAAACTATGTCTTTTTAATATTGTGATAAATGATAATGGTAAAATTAATATCTCTAACCAACCCTGTGACGTGATACACACCAAAGTGTTGGATTACCCTTTATAAACACTACTCCTTTATAAACATTACTACCTTTATAAACACTTCTTCCACCCTAGAACTCAACCCTGAGGTACTCCTGCCAGCCTACTGACCCCAACCCTAGCGACGCTAAGTTCATGTGTGGTACAGTGGCTCTAAAGAACGAGTCAGCTAGAGAGTGGGGCTTCTGTCATTCTCACACTCTCGGTCTCGATGGTAAGTGGAACACATGGTGTTGTCATGGTGTTGTCACGTGGTTGTCACGTGGTTATCACGTGGTTGTCACGTGGTTATTGATGAAATGTCCATTGTTTATTTAAAACACATTTTAACTTACTTTTGACTTAAATCCTGAATATTAACATTCGAATTAAACTTAGTACGAAATATGCCCCGAAGTACGCGTATAACAGGAGTTGATCAACGATCAGATTAATTGACAGATCATAAGTATAACAATTAATTGATTAAATACAGCGCAATTAAAATCGATATTAGACATTCTTAACCAGCTGTCCCCCTCAGACGACAATACAGTAGAAGAGATAAGAGCCTTTACTGACGGAGTGGAGAATAACGACATCCTGTCACCTGGGAGACAGTGTGATGTGCCCTTCTCTAACCTTACTGTGGTCGGGAATATAGATATCCAGATACAACAGGTAATGTTAAACAGTTTTATTATTTTGAGATATATCCCCACTCCATCAGCCCCCCCCCCCCCCCCCCCCTTTATTGATTGACTTTTGTTATGCATTTACAACGTCATTTAACTTTTCAGTTATTTTGCTGTGTTTTTCCTCATTCCCCTTCCCCCAGGTATACGTAGAGCTGAACACCGGTTCAGTACAGTCCATGTCAGTGGCGGGTACCCCCTGTACTGATATCCAGATCTTGAGTAACACTAGACTCTTGACGGTGATCACGTGTGCAGAGCCTCTTACTGGTACAGTGGAGATTATCTTCACGGAGGGGACTATCCCGTGTACTGTAAAGTTCCTTGTACTTGGTGGGTTGTTAAACATGGTATTTTTTGTTTAGAAATAAAGTTGCTTGTAAGTATTGATCACTGACTAAACAAAAAGAAAAAGAGAAAAAGAAGCATTGTTGGAGAAAGGAATAAGAGAAAAACCAAATTGTTGGTCCTTTTCAGATTCTCCACCGAGATAAGATGGATATTGGATTTAGAATTATTGATAAAACCTTTCTTCAGAGAATCTGGCTATAGGAAAGCAAGTTGTTATGACAAACCCTGTTACAAGTGGAGCCGGTTCTTTTGCTGTCGACGGTACGGATAATTTCTAACTTATCTAACTTCCCTTATCTAACTTTCATAATAGTATCACCACCAACGATCAGTGACGATCACGTTTCGTAAAAACAATAGTTAGGACACGGTGACCGCCATGACGCACCAATAATAATAGCTGACCCCACAGGAAAAGTAACAGGTAGAAGCGCAGCAGAGTGTGCGGAGTCCCTCCATCATGATACCAGGAGGAGAGGCGCGGATCTGGATCTCCCTGATTCCGGTTTTCAGTTTACTCCTGGTCCTCAGTTCCTCCGGATAGATCTGGGTTAGTGTCTTCTGTGCTGTTTAGTTGTTAACATTGTGCTGTTTAGTTGTTATCATTGTGCTGTTTAGTTGTTAACATTGTGCTGTTTAGTTGTTAACATTGTGCTGTTTAGTTGTTAACATTGTGCTGTTTAGTTGTTAACATTGTGCTGTTTAGTTGTTAACATTGTGCTGTTTAGTTGTTAACATTGTGCTGTTTAGTTGTTAACATTGTGCTGTTTAGTTGTTAACATTGTGCTGTTTAGTTGTTAACATTGTGCTGTTTAGTTGTTAACATTGTGCTGTTTAGTTGTTAACATTGTGCTTTTTAGTTGTTAACATTGAGTCACAACATCTGGGTTAGTGTACTGGTATTATATACGCTTATATACGTAATATTCCATATTATTGATGCTTTTTTATTATATAATATACAGGGTGGGCCAAAAGTCAGTGGGCATACGATGGCCTTAATAGCTCCGCTGTGTTTTATATTTGAGAGTTGTTGCTTTGCAAAATTTGAAAATTCGAATATTTTAGACCACGCCCATTCAATATTAAAACACCTATATTGTGTATTGTATCATTATTATGCTTATTTCTCTTTATATTAGGATGCAGTGAAACTATCGGACTACGATATATACTATTAATTATAATACTCCTATATTCTTATAAATAATTTAATACTTATACCTTATTATATAAGATGTATATTATAACTTTACACTATTATAACAACATGATATATCAGGTGAAACCAAGTCGGTAGCTCAAGTGCTCCTCTATGTATACTCCATAATCAACCCCTTCGAAGTACGTGTTGGTGATAGTGATGAGATGGTATGGTACGCTAACCCTGCTTGCGGAGGGTAGGTCCCCTTTTTCTCCCTTTATTTTCAGTATTGATCTCAAATATTTGCGTTGTTTCTATGGAGGATAGTTAGAAACTGTTTTGGGTGATACAAGGGACCTTATAGATCAGTACAGTCCCCACCCCCCCCCCCCCCCCCCCGCCCCCTCACCATATTGTAGTAAAACTGATGCCATAAATTTGTTCGTATGGAAATGCTAAAAATCCCATACTATAGGTGGAAGTACAAGTCGTCAACGCAAACCCTGAAAAGGGTGAACTGTGGACGAGCTGGAAGATATGTAACTGTTATTGTTAGAGACGAGACCAAATCCATCAGGTGAGAGATATGTAACTGTTATTGTTAGAGACGAGACCAAATCCATCAGGTGAGAGATTTTGGTGGAAGTATTGTTTATATGATCCCCTGCTCAAGTCGAATAATTCTGTCCGCTACACGACGTCATGATATTCAATTTGATAATACCCTCACATTTATATTTTTAATTGTACCCTATTTGTGTTCATGCAAACCGATTAACTAATTCTTGCGTGAAGTAAGAAATTAGTCAATTTCTTGTGAAATAAAGGTGTTTGCTTCCACTTAACAGTCGTTTTATCAGCTTGTGTGAAGTGGAGGTGTTTGCTGATGCTACCCCTACATATGGGGGTACTGCTAAGGGTAAACCTTGTCAACATCCCTTCGTGGCCAACGATAAGGTATGGCGTTAATAACTGACCCATTATGTATACTATGCTATAGATTGGAGGTATTCAATATTACAGCGATAACAATGTTACATTGCTTGATTGTAAAACCTATACATTTGAACTGTGGTATTAAAACACAGTCCTAACTGGCTTATTTAATACAGGTTCATAAAGATGGTTGTGTGATGGGAGGCAGTGAGCCTGGACAGGAGACTAGTCCGTGGTGTTACACAGTACCTGCAGAAAGCAATCAGCTGTGGGGCTACTGTCAGCATGCTGAAGGTAAGAATACCTCCCTCCCTCCCTCCCTCCCTCCCTCCCTCCCTCCCTCCCTCCCTCCCTCCCTCCCTCCCTCCCTCCCTCCCTCCCTCCCTCCCTCCATCCCTCCCTCCCTCCCCCCTCCCTCCCTTCCTTCCTCCCTCCCTCCCTCCCTTCCTCCCTCCCTCCCTCCCTCCCCCTTCCTCCTTCCCTCCCTCCCTCCCTCCCTCCCTCCCTCCCTCCCTCCCTCCCTCCCTCCCTCCCTCCCTCCCTCCCTCCATCCCTCCCTCCCTCCCCCCTCCCTCCCTCCCTCCCTCCCTCCCCCCCTCCCTCCCTCCCTCCCTCCCTCCCTCCCTCCCTCCCTCCCTCTCCCTCCCTCCCTCCCTCCCTCCCTCCCTCCCTCCCTCCCTCCCTCCCTCCCTCTCCCTCCCTCCCTCCCTCCCTCCCTCTCCCTCCCTCCCTCCCCCCCTCCCTCCCTCCCTCCCTCCCTCCCTCTCCCTCCCTCCCTCCCTCCCTCCCTCCCTCCCTCCCTCTCCCTCCCTCCCTCCCTCCCTCCCTCCCTCCCTCTCCCTCCCTCCCTCCCCCCCTCCCTCCCCCCCTCCCTCCCTCCCTCCCTCCCTCCCCCTCCCTCCCTCCCTCCCTCCCTCCCTCCCTCCCCCTCCCTCCCTCCCTCCCTCCTCCCTCCCTCCCTCCCTCCCTCCCTCCCTCCCTCTCCCTCCCTCCCTCCCTCTCCCTCCCTCCCTCCCTCCCTCCCTCTCCCTCCCTCCCTCTCCCTCCCTCCCTCCCTCCATCCCTCCCTCTCCCTCCCTCCCTCCCTCCCTCCCTCCCTCCCTCCCTCCCTCCCTCTCCCTCCCTCTCCCTCCCTCCGTCCCTCCCTCCCTCCCTCCCTCCCTCCCTCTCCCTCCCTCCGTCCCTCCCTCCCTTCCTCACTCCCTCCTTCCCTCCCTAGTCCCTCCCTCCCTTACAATATTTTATTTCAGATGTGAATGGTTGTGCATTCAATAATGGCGGGTGCTCAGATCTCTGTTTCAACACTCCTGTCGGTGTGAGATGTGGCTGTGGAGACTTTATTAACCTCCAATCTGATGGAAAAACATGCGGTTAGTTCAATCTTGTTGATTAAATACCGCATGTCAATTATTTAAGGAATTCTTACTTTCATTCTAACATTCTATCATTGAACATCGGCTTTAAAACTTCCTTACTGGATTGAATCTCCCACGTGCACGAGTATTTCATATAAGTTTTATCTTGTCTAAACCAAAAGGCAAAAACTATCTCCAAGAATGAACTATCTCTCAGTGGATAACCCTTGTCTAAACGAAGACAAAGGAGGATGTGAAGACTCGTGTCGATTAGGAGAGAACGGGAGAGTTTGTGGTTGTAGACCCTTGTTCAAGCTGAACGAGGACAATGTCACGTGCTCCGAATCGGAACTGTTCTTGATTGGAGCTAACAAGACTACTATCTTTAACTTATCTGTTGACTCCAACCCTGGCGCTCTCAGAGTGAGTTATTTCAAATTGTAGCTGTAGAAATAACGTGTTAATATTGTTTAGGAGAATCTCTGGTATTATCCAAAGAAGTTTTTAGTGGAATTTTCCTACATTCTGCACACACACGCTACGATGTATTTCATTAATTTTGAAATATTATAATTAATTATTCTTATTTCAGGTGCTGTTCAAAAACGTTGGCACTACAATAGGAGTAGCTTACTCTCAGAAGAAACAGATGATTTTCTGGACGGACGCCGCTCAGGACGCCATTTTCAGTGCTAATTTGGACGGAACCAACAAGAAAATAATCGCTAGAGAAGGTATGTTCAGTCAAACGTTAGTCCAAATTTTCTTAGCTTTCTCAGGGATAGGGGCGGTAGTTGAGTGTGTCCCATATTCTAGCAGGGATAGGGGCGGTAGTTGAGTGTGTCCCATATTCTAGCAGGGATAGGGGCGGTAGTTGAGTGTGTCCCATATTCTAGCAGGGATAGGGGCGGTAGTTGAGTGTGTCCCATATTCTAGCATCCTGCCTTATAGTCCGGTATACAGGGTGGTCATTCTTATTATATTCATGTACACTGTACATTATTACTCTGGGTAACCATGTAGACTTTAATTTCTATCCTGGACTCATTTGACGAGTTGCTCCCTAAACCAAACAACTTTTCAATAAAACAGAATTTCTGTTGGGAAATGTACATTTTACACCCGGGCTTACCTTTTATCGAATATTTAAACTGCTCATAAATATCAACTGCAGTTAACTAGCCAATAAAATTGCCTTTTATCAAAAGGTGCTGTTCTGAAAGGTTAATTTCACCAAAAACGACTAATAAATAATTAAATGCTCTAATCCGGATATTACACAGATTCTTCTTATTTTCAGGGATAAAATCTCCTGATTGTATAGCCTATGACTGGATATCAGATCTTATCTACTGGAGCGACGGCAAAGCTGACACTATTGAAGTAATAACCCCCCCACTTTTGAAACTTATTCTAACTAAACTTTTTTTTGATATGATTTAATATGATTTAATATATATATATATATATTTAGATATTATTATTTAATATGCTATTATGCTTATCTCGTCAACGCTGTCGTTGCTGAGTATGACTAATAATTATTAATATTAATATTATTGGTCGGACGTGTGCGGGGGGGGGGGGGGTATCAGGTACTAAGTGTGGTCCACAAGTCACGTACAGTCGTGAAAGTACAATAATTTATTTAAACAGTGAACATTTCTCGGTGCTACAAGATTTTATATTGAGTAAATATTTACTGACGTTTGGTATCCCCTGACAGGTGGCGAGATATGATGGAAAGTTCAGGAATTCCGTAATAAACACTGACATGGAGTCACCTAGAGGAGTTGCACTCCATCCTAAACAGGTATTACACCTACATAATGAAGTATTGTGGTTTACTTGATATTGAACAAGACATTAAAAATACAGTTTAATTTCAAAATGAAAAAATAATAAAATCACAACAAATTATATATAATAACTATGATAAAATGAAATCACATAAAAATGTCTTAATCATAATCAGATTATGAACAAATGACCAAATGAACAAATGAACAAATGAACAAATGACCTAGGCAAAAATAAATTGATCATTTTTCGCTTACACAGTGATACAAAGATAATACTCAATAATCTAATGATATATATGTTATCAGACATAATAATTGGTCCAGACTCTAGAGATTGAAAATATTTTTCTACTTCCAGTGAGATTCATTAAGGGGGGGGGGGGTTCACCCTGATTTCCATTAAACACACGTCACGCACACATCTTTTAAAAATAAAATTAAGATTTTTTTACAACTACTGCAGATATCAAATTTGACATTGTTTTTTGAAATTTCGTTCATTGTGCTACACGTCTCTTTAAATATGGTATTCTAGTGTCTCTAATAATTTTCTGGGTCACCTTATCACAATCAAACTGGTGTTTGTTGAATCCCTTCATTCACGTTTCCAGTGTTCGCTCCTGTGCTTGCTGTGCCACTCGCCCTTCCTCCTGAAAAAAGAAACTGTACAAAAACCTCATTATCGTGGTAAAATATCCGTAGCTGTTCAACTAAAATCCTGCTGTCAGGACAATAAGGTTGATAAATAAATATCCAAAGTATTAATATTCACTATTCATATATCAACATTTAAATACCATGACTTGTAGAAGTTTCCACGTTGGTAATGTACTGATAAGACAGCTGCATCTTCGACCAGATAAATGCTCTGAAGCTAGACACGGTCAGACTATAAATGTAGAAGTTGCTGATGGTGTTTAAAGACAGGAACGAAATCGCAACTCTAAAATACGTGGTGTGGAATGAACTACTGCTCTTGTCAGCTACTCTAACGATAGATTCCCCAACGTGGTAAACAACGTATGGTAGGTCAGACAAGCAGAAGACTGTGGCTGTAAGGACAGTTGTCACGATCCCCTGCCACTTCAAACTTTCCCTGCTCCTGGGAAACGACTTTTCTGGCTTCAATCAACAAACAAAGGGTGGTTGATACAACCAGGCATGTTGGAATAAATCCAAATAGCACTGCCATAAAAGGACCCAGATAGTACCAAATCCCCGATGTGTACACATAATCGCATACATAGCCCCTATACGAAAAAGAAACATCATTATTCACGAGAAGGAGTGTCACAGGGAAGGTGAAAGCTGCCAACCAGCATGCCACGCAGATCAAGTGTGCTTTCTTCGAAGTGGTTGTTCCAAATTGGAAGGGATATTTCAGGAGGAGCAGCTTGCTGGTTGTCATGGCACAGATGAGAAACATACTCGTCACGTAGGTATAGTACCCTGCATAGGAGCATAAGTAGCAGAAGAAGTTTCCTAGCACCCACTTATCAGAGATAATAGAGACCATCCTTGGGAGAGCTTCGGTAACAGATACAATCAGGTCACAGAATGCCATGTGCTGGATGACGACAATGATGACTCGGTGAAGTTTAAAGCTTTAAAGGCCTTGTACTTTATGGATGCTATGAGAATGGTTGTGTCTCCTATTAAAGATGAAGCAATGACGAATAGATAGTATCCAGCCCAAGTGTATCGTATAGCATCACTTTTAATGCCATAAGCAGTCTTGTTACTGTAATCATCATGACATAGGGTTGTTGGCATGATAAAGTATTTGCGAAAATGGACAACTATTGCATGAGCGACAAGAACGGAAATGAGCTATAAATTGTATGCATCAGAACTATATCATTATAATTTCTCTTTTCTTTATAATTAAATGTTATCCTACTTGATCTCCAACTTGCGGGTAACAGAATTAATATTGCTCTTCCTAAGAATTACAAAAACAAACCCATTTCTTATATCCTGAGGGGACATGAAGCAATTTTGCTACTCAATTTACAAATTTATCCACTATGTATGATCTTAAGCCACAAAAACCAGCCACAAATGACAAAATGTAATTCTCAGTATGCCAGGCGAAAATCCATTTTAGTGTCCCAGAATTTCGTAAATGCTAGATTATGAAGTACCATACTAGCGGAAGCAGTAATGATAATATCAAATTACTTAACCATATTATATTAATTTGCAATTTAACTTGTCTGTGAACTACAGTAGTAAGATGGTAATTAGTCAAAGTTTTCACTAAGATTAAACATGGTTTACGTCGTCTACTTTGGCTTTCTTTATCAGTGAGATTTCCAAAAAAGGGCAAGCATCAGAAACATTTGCAACTTAACATCCTCAATCTTTCAGGGTAGAATGTACTGGACGGACTGGGGAAGGAACCCAATGATAGAATCCTCCAAGATGAACGGAGATGACAGGAAGGCTATTATCACAGATAACATCGCCTGGCCTAACGGTCAGTTTACTTAGTGACATGCTACTTTTTCTCAGTTTCAGCCCAAGTTTTACTGTCACCAATATGCAAATAGCCCTAACGCAGAGTTAGGCCTAACTTTGGTGCGGCGGGTCTATTTAACATGTAGTCTACATGTTAAATAGACCCGCCGCACCAAAGTTAGGCCTAACTCTGCATTAGGGCTAACTGCATCTTGTTGACAGTTATAAGTATTAAACCACTGGGATAATTTCCCTTACCAATTACCACTTCAGTTTTGATATTGTGTTTATTTTACTTCAGTTAAATAATCGTAGCTAAGCAAAGAACAATGTATTAATTACCTATTCTTTCGTAGGTATTACAATAGATTATTCTGAGGACAAGATTATATGGGTGGACGCAAAGCTCGACACCATTGAAACTGCTGACTTAGATGGACAAAATAGACGAGTAAATATATTTTGATTACTTATCACTGATTTTTAACACAAGTTTGATTTTAGTTGGAGTTTTTAAAAAAATTGTCCTTATTTTTTACCACCTCCAGAAAAAAAACGCGTCACTATTCTTTAACAATTTCAGGTGATAGAGAACGTTGATGTTGTTCATCCGTTTGGTGCAACTCTCTACGGAGACGAGATATTCTGGACTGACTGGGGCAGAAAGAGTGTTGAAGCTATAGACAAACACGGTACAAGATTTAACACTATTATAACAATGATAACGATGATCTCCATATTCATGATATCGGTATTGATGATGTGACTGTTTTTAGCATAAACACCTGATAACCTCGTGATAACCACGTGATAACGTATTGATTTTCAGACAGTACAAAGAGAAGAACCGTTTACTCTGGTATAAATCAACCCATGAACATCATGGCTCTATCTGAACAAACAGGTTTGTTTTGTACATTTTAAAAGATTTGATTTAACAGAACGTAATAGATATTCCCTATTATTTGAAGGAGTACTAACTTGACTCTAAATGATTTAATATTGTTTAAATTAATCTTATGAACAGAAAGTGCTTAATTGCTGACAGATCTGACTTGCATCTCAACAATATTAAGTTTTTTCATCTAGAGCTCGACAGCTGAGTTCTTTCACATCCTAGGAGAAAATCAGGCATTATTTTAAGAATCGTTTGTTATCTAACTCTTTCCCATTCATGATTCAACCGGTGTTAGCAGTAGAATCAACACAAAGACATAAATATGTAACATGAATCATGGCAGGACACAAATTCGAGGGTTTCTAGAAGATTCCAGAACAAAGATATCTAAGATCTTGATCACGAGAATTCCGTTTAAAGTTTCTCTCAGCACGTGTCACCAGTGAGCTCCTCTTTGTCACGTGTTATCAGCACGTGTCACCAGTGAGCTCCTCCTTGTCACAGTTGACCAGGTTCCCATTGTTTACCTGTACCTCTGCAGGTTCCACTTTAACCGCCTGAACAGGAGATAGTTTTCTTCTCTCGGACATCTTGAACCCTCCTCCTCCTCCTCCTCCTCCTCCCACCCCTGTGTTACTGACCCCGCTCTGACTCAACAAGCTGCCTCCCTTCATACCACTCTTGTATTTGTTTGCTTTACCGCACAACAGGTCTGTAAGGAAGAGTCTAAACGTATTGTTGGTGGCTGTGTAAATGAAGGGGTTTATTATAGCATTGATGGTTATAGCGTGCTCTGCGATGCTCAAGTAAATGGGCGCCACGTTAAGTCCCAGGAATTTGCACACCCATATTGCGAGGTAAGGAACCCAGGAGAAGACGAAGGCCCAACAGATACACGCCACCATGGTAACGGCCGACCTACTGGGAACGAATTGGCCGGTGCGTTTCTTAGAGTACTTCCCAGCAATGCAGAGTATCCAGATGTTAGTGATGAGGATGAGGAGGATGGGACCGAAAGAGAGAAGTATCCCAGCAGTGTGCTGGAACCTCCTCAAATCCTCCCTCACCACCCACCCCCCACACCCCATTAGGTAAGGGTCGAAGTACCCCACCATGTCTGCTCCTACTAGAATGGAGATGTAAAGCGCTGCAAAACACCACATGCACAGTATCAAGAGCTGCATGACCCGAAGTTGCACGACGTTGACGATAGTGCGCAGCACGTGCAGTCTGTAGCATGCCATCCCCGTGGTTACAAGACTCTCAGAGATTAGGAGAGGGATCTTTAGCACTACCGAAGCAAAACACACCACTTTTCCTGGGGATAGTGAGCGTGAAATGGGAAATCTGAGGACAGATGATATTATCAGACAAAAAGTATGGTTCCTAAGTGTTAAGGAGCCTAGATTGTCGAAGTTTGAAACACTTATATTGTAGGAATATGTGTGCAAAAGTTTTAGAATTGTATGAATTATTATAAAAGTGTAAAAGTGGTCCGCTCACCAAGGTGCCATCCATTGAAAGCGAGCACAGTGACACGAGGTAGTACCTTCACCACTATTATCAACATGTCTGCTAGGGCTATGTTCTCCAGAAACAACCTGGTGGAACTAAAGTGATTTTTTTGAATTTTGATCTTAATGATGGTTTTGAAGAAAGACTTCGGAAATAGAGCATTTTTTGTTGTTGACGGGAAGAAAAAATAGAAAAGTGCCTATCATAGAGGGGGTATATACTTCGGCTTATATAACAGACCAATCAAAACTCAGAATCACCGTCACGTGTCAAAACCAGATCTAAAATAAGATGAGCAGGACTAACCTGGAGCACTGATCCATCTTTATTGCTCTGAACTTTGAGGAACCCACCAATACTACACAGTTGCCTGGACGTTAGGTTGTTATTCAATATTCAACTATATTATATAGGCTAATTATATGCTACTTAATCCCTCACGGACTTTTCATTTAGTTTCTGACCTTACAATAAGTTAAATACGATGAATGACATCTGTAAATTATATAATCTGAAATTTGAATCGGAGTACATGAACGACGTAAATCACCCACTAATATATCTCATAGCACTAACGTGAACTACAAACAATGAAAATATTTTATTGGGCTCTTTTTTGTAATCGCTGAAGAAGTTGAATTAGCTTGAAAAGTACAGTAAAATTAGACCGTTACAAAATCTTCCAAAATAAACAATACCGACGAGTCCGATGAAGAACATGAGAAGGTTTAAGAGAAGCAGTGAAACTCTTGTAGCATTTCCCATGTTGAGAAACTCGGACAGGGAGTCATCCTTGACGATCATAGTCAGATTCACTGAGAACATGGCTTAACTTGGGAGTTACTCGTTAATAATATGAAATTAGGGTCAGTTCTCAGATTCACTGCGGCCTAGTAAAACTATGGATCTGTACTCTGTAGGTTGACAAGGAAGACCATGCTAGGAGGGTGGTTCAGTTTGCGTAAAAAGATAGCTAGACGGTTATAACCGTTTGAAGGAAACGTTGTGAGGGATCATTCGCCCCCGCTGCAGTTGGTAAAAGTTCAATTTCTGAAGTGTTATACATAATAAGATCTATTACTATGAATGGTTTTCAACAAGTGATCCTAGGCTTACTTAAACATTTTCCAAATATCAAATAGTGCACTGCCACAAAACTTAGTTCACTAAGCAAGAAGCTGAATCTCCTGCGATATTTTTTCGGCTTCACTACACTTTATTTTCACTTCATGTTGGAAAGTCCAAGTTAAAAACCTACTTTTCAATACTGGAAGCTGTAACCGAACAGACAGACCAGCCACACCAGATTGTTAAACAGTGTTTAACAACCAGTCACACTACCCTCACGTGACGTCACGTGAGGGTAGTGTGACGTCACGTGATTTAACTGTGGAAGCTGTGACCGAACAGACAAACCAGCCACACCAGATTGTTAAACAGTGTTTCCCGACCAGTCACTGTTGTTGGTTAGTGGGTACCAACGTTAAATGTTTTAGCTGAAATAAAGTCACAAACAAAGAAACAAACTTTCAGCGATTAAGGAATATCCGTTCGCGGTTCAGAAATCAAAGGGAGTTTTGGTATAAATGCAGAAATCTAGCGTTTGCACCCTCCCTTATGCGTCAAAATGTCGCCCGCTTTGTTGCTGAACATTATGCATGTTCTTTTTGGCGCCCCTTCAATATGTTTTCAACCCGTAGCATAGGGGCTAAGTCATTAGTCACTTAGGATAGATTTTCTGGTGGAAAGTAATCGTGTATCTTGCTATCATTGCACAGTTGGCGTCTTAAAGTTAAAATCGACCCAGGAGGGTAGTGGAAGCATTACACAGCTGTGTAAAGGGGGGGGGGGGGTCATGAGTATAGTCATGAGTCATGACCCCCTCCCCCCCCCCCCTCATCATGCGGGGAGGATCTGAAGAAAACACAATTTCAAATAAACGCACAAATAATGAAATGTGTGATCACTGAGACGAACACAACAGAATGAACAGTAGATTTAGTACAATTGTACACCCTCTTTTGAAATGTTAGGTTTTGTCGAGAAAATTTCCGAACAATTTGTAAAAAACTGACCCTATAAATTACTGTAAACCGTATAAAAGGAAACTGATTCTGCCGATCAAAATTAATGTAACATATGGGTTATGTACTTGTAGCCTGTTCTGGAAATGATAAGAATCAGAAAATTCGTTAATTATATAATTAATAGCGGGCTATTGTTAACCCAAGCTATTAAACTCACAACGAGGCACTCCGTAGTTAAGCTCGGCAGGTTGGCCCTTCATTACTGCTTCGTATTTATTGAAAACTAACACTGCTAATAAGGCGCCGTTCGCTAGTTTAATAATGAGCGAAGTTGATATCACTATCAGTCTTTTTTGTCATTGCTGATTGACACTTACTCCAAAACGGTTTTTTGTCATAACTTGAATGACAAATATTTTCGCCATGATATTTCCAACATTTTCACCATCCAGGCCATGGTGCCATCTTTACTCCAAAAATCAATTTTGAGAATGGCGATGACGCTGATATTTAACTGAAATGATATCAATAGCGTGAATCATTAAAACTTGCTGAATGGAGCCCTCTTAGTGCAATTATATGTTTACAGTGATCGAGAAATATGATAATAGATTGTCCGTACAGAATTATGGTCAAAATTCTACAGCTATAAAATGTATTGCAAGCAAAGATTGGAGGTCTCAAAGCAGGTCAAGTGCATGCTTTTATACTAATCAAATTGCAATTGGCTTTGGACCTATTGCTGTTGGCCAGTATTGTTTTACTACCAATAAAACAATAAATTAGAACTTAAAAGCTATTAACTATGTGACCATCAAAGTTTACTACTTCTATTCAATATCATATATACAATTTTCGCGAAAGAGAACATTTTTAAAAATCAGGTCCCATTTTTACACACTAAAACTAACAAAGCAGTCAGAGTTACACTTTCTAGTGATCTTCTAAGTTGCTATCTTCTAATTGCAAGCTGCTACCATAAAAGCTGGATAATAAGACTATAAAGCTATAATAGGACTATTTAAGTCCGTGATGAATCTAGCTTCATGGAGGTAAGGGTCTGCCCACACTACGCCTCTATTCCCCGAATGTCTGCCCACACTACGCCATGTTTTGACGGGCCACATGGCGGATTCACACAACGAGGCGCGTAGTGTGGGCAGAGCTCCCGCCAGTTGGCGTGGAAACTCTTGGGGAATAGGGGCACGGATTTTAAAAATCTGTGCCAGAATTCCCCGAGAGTTTCCACGCCAACTGGCGGGAGCTCTGCCCACACTACGCGCCTCGTTGTGTGAATCCGGTTTTTTTGACCCACGCCATATTGTGGCCCGTCAAAAAATGGCGTAGTGTGGGCAGACATTCGGGGAATAGAGGCGTAGTGTGGGCAGACCCTAAGATAGTATGGAGGTACGTGGAATAGCGAATTTCGTGAAAGCATTGAAGCATTAATGTAATATATATATT